CTACAAAAGGGGTCTTATATTTAGGATGGGAGGAGTATTATTTTTCTTGGACAAACACTCTTTTTTATCAAAACGTTCTCTCACACATCCGCACACGCAATTGGAAGTTGGAATTCATCATTTAATACAGGAGCAAAAAAAAAAAAAACTCATTTAATTTATTGACGACATTTCAAAGCGGTGTAAATGTGATCTTAAATCTAAATAATTTAAAAGATGTAAAATTACTTAAAAATTCTCTTCTTATTTTTAGCACCGATTTTGCCATTTTCATACATATTCTCCTCTAACTTAGTCGCGTGACAGCAATGTTTCTATCAAATCCCAAGTCCTCATAGCTAATAATACCATGTTATTTCCAATATTAGATTATTTAAAAACTTTTTACCAGAGATTATTTAAATTAGATGCACCTCAATATCAACTAGAGAATTACTACAGGGTCTCCAAAAATTTAATTATCAAAAAATATTAATAATAAGTAAGCAGTTGTCATTTTCTACATCAAAACTTGTTATTATAAGCTGTTATACATTTATTATGACTTTTTAAAAATTATGTTATTTGCTTAGAACTCCACAGCAATTCTCTCAATATTAATTCTTAGCAGTTTAATGGCTCCATTTTTTTTTATTTTGAATTTTTATTCTATCGTAACCATGCTTTTGTGACGGCTAAATTTTTATTTTCAACATAAGCTACGTTGCGTTATATATTCCGTTACTGATTTTCCAAGAAGCTTCGCGGCCATATTAGATTATATTAGACTAAAATGAGTGATCACGAAGCTGCAATGATCTTACCTTTACGTGGCATATATATTTAATTTGTAAGTTGAAGTTTCACTTTAAATGAATTATAATTTATGAAAATTATCTTTATATTTGTAGAGACTTAATAGGAGTAGAGTAATATTTGCGAGACTCACATTTTCATGAAAGTAATAATGAAAACGATTAAGGAAGTCCGCAGACTTCAAAAGCTGAAGATCGTTGATTGGCAAAAGAGGGGGGGACTGAAGACCGTTGCTATCATTAATTTAACGTACTTAAAAGGTTATGAGGTGTTTGGATTAACTCTTTAAAAATAATTTTACAGTATATAAAATAAATATATGAAAAAAAATTATCTCGACTTATGTAAAAATATTTTTTTTAAAGTGCTTTTGATATGTAATGACGTTGCTATAGACTTGAAAAGTTGTGATCTTGCTATCACTAAAACTTTTATTCTAAGATGACAACATTATTAAACTTTTTAATGGTCCATTTTCACTTGGACTAATTATGCGTTACAAACACGATGTAGACTTTATTGCCCTGTGTACAACTTTATTTTATTTTAAAGCATTTTTCTTTAAAGTTATCATCTCTTTTTTTTTTTTTTGGGACTGAAGTTATCATCTGTTTTATGCGTTGCATGAGAAAAGGAAGAATCCAGTTGTGACTGAAAATAAATTAATCACTCAACTTTTTGCATTTTCAAAGAGATCGTAATGGAATCACGAGTTCTTCTATAGTGCATTCATCACTGGGCAATATAATGTAATCAGGGTTTGGGTCTGAAATTAATGGTTTGAAAATATGCTGGGCCTATTAAGTTCATAAGCTTGTATGATTGGACATCCTAAAGGACTCGATTGTAACTGGGCTGCCCAATTTTCCATTGGGCCAAAGAGTATTAACTAAAAGCCCAATAATGAAAAACAAGAATTGTCCTTCCCTAAGATCCGGTAAGCCCATAACGCCTAATTTAGAACTGTCAAATCATTCCATTAATTTCAACTCACTTCAATCTTCAGCACCCCCCATCAACGAGGGGGCCTCAACATCCATAGAGTAAGTTTCTTATACTACATCTGCTACTAAATATAAAATTTATTTTTATAGTATTGAATATTTCATTCTGTAACATAACAAATATATTTACGTCTTTTTATCAAATTTCACTGTCATTTTAATTCTCATTCTTATAAAAAATATATCACCAACTCCTTAAGGGCTTATAATATCTGTGCCCTACATTAAGTTGAGCGAATATCATCAAAATTCAAAAGAAAGGGAATTGAGTTTTGTCAGAGACTTCTTATTAATTTTTTTTAAACATTATTCAATGAAAATTTGGAAAAAAAAAGTATATTTCTATGAAGATACAAAATATAAATTAAAAAGTAAAGATAGATTCAGCACCCTTATTTTATCTTTCAGATATATTCAGTATTCTGATCCAGACCTTTTCTCTTCTTTTTTGTGTGTGTATCAAATACCTTAACCTTATATTCTAATTTTTATAGTGTTAAATATAACTAAAAAAATAATATAAAGTATTAGGTATACCTTTAAATGTTTAAATATTTTTTTATGTGATTCTGTTTTTCACATACAGATATAAAAAGATGCTTGCTTACCAAAAAAAGAAAAAGATATAAAAAGATGCCGTTTTCATTTATTAGGAAACGAACACTTTTGCCTCAATCATGAATGTACTATTAATTACTTGGCAGACGGGAAAAAGAAAACCCACAATGGTACGCAGTTACGCACTATCATTGCGATAACAGGCGTATCAAAAACCAATTGTCATTACATGTGGTCACTACTTTATCGACTGAAATATCATGTGGTCACCTTATCATATCAAAAAAACTCAGACAAGTTTTTGGTGAATTATTATGTTCTCATTGCTAGGATTTAGGAGGATTAAAGGGGAAGAAATATTAACTACAAATAAATATAGTGACCCTAATGTCATTAATCATCTACAAATTATGACTTATCGCTCTTCTTTACAAGTTACGCTGTTCACAATCTGTAGTAACAAATAATGAAAAGAACCTAGCACACATAAAAAAATTACATATAAAAATTAAACGATTCTTAGCAAGGAACCAACTATAAATGGGCCAACAAAATGTAATCAAAGGATTTTTTTCTCCCGAAAAATCGAATCCTCCCACATATAAACATATGCATGGTCTATTCGCCACGTCAAATTAATAGGATCATCTTATCTCTTGCGCCAGGCAAAAGTACAACCACAAGGGAACGAATTAAATTAAAGCAAATTAATAATAGGCATGCAATTATTAGAAACTTCCAAAACAATACCTTCAAGGGGAATCCAGATTAATGTCACGTGCCCATATATAAAATCTAGCTACTTGTTGCTTCATGGTCCTCGAATCATCGCAAAAAGTAGTCTCTCTCTCCCTTGTACTTCCCACCTATTGTCACCGGCACCGCAAACCTTCATCATTATTCATTAGATTTGTAGCGAATGGTCTGGATGGATTTAATATTTTATTCCGCTTAAGGCACGTCTCTCTTTTTTATTTGTACCCCGAAATATTAAGTGAATAAATGTCCGTTTAAGATATTACTTTCAATTCTAAATATAAGATCTCGTTTGCAAATTATAAATAAGATTTTATATTCAGGGGAGGAGGTAGTATTATTGAAATTTAATGAAAAAAGCTAGTTAGATTTGAATTATTCGCTATATAGATTATATGTATATTGTCCATGGTTGAGTGAACTTGTTGGGAAGTGTAGCGGAGACCAATCTTCTATTAGAAGTGGTGGCTAATAAGAATCATCACCTTTATAATTAACACACGTGCTATAGAAAACGGAGGCGATTGAATTAATGGGTGTGTGAATAGGATAAGAAAGAAACCAGCTAGCTGTTAAGGGCCTTAAAAGGAAAATAATGCACCGCCCAATTGGTGTAATCATATGTTGATATATATATATATATATATTACACAAATCATATGTATACATGCATATATATATATATATATCATATTATTGTTCTCCAAATATTTCAAAGTATAAATATCTAAATTTTAAATATTTTATTTGAGAAGAAGATAAGGTTGATGCTGCTCTTACACCTTGGTGGTCCCGTCACGTTGCTTCGTAGGACCACTGCTAACAATTTGAAATTTTTATGTTTATAAGCATAAAAATATATAGACATATTTTTAGAAGATAAAAATAGAAATACAAAAATAAAATAAGAATTTTATGCATGAGTTTGTATTCTTCTTAATTAGAGAGATAAGTAAGAATCAATTAACTACTGGCAAAAGTCCAGATGTTTGCGCCAAGATCGAGTCCAGATGTTTGTGCTATCATATTAATTGCTGATGGATGGACTAAGAATCAATTATAGGAGATTAGAACTTTGAAACAAGTGATTCTGTATAATGCACGGCTCCCTTAACAAATACCAGAACACTTGTATCTCCAAGAGCTCCATTATGGACGTACGATGTTGGTCCCCTTGCTAGTTGGTTGCGTTGTCCTAGAATCAGTGGCTAGGAAATTTGACATTCAAAACACGTGCTGCCAAGCTGTCTTATTCTATATTAATTGATTGATTCTTGGGAAAATTGAATGAGAAATTTGGGAAGAAGAAGGACTAAAACTTGAAAATCATCATTACAGACTCCAAAATTTGCGATTGACCTTCAAGAAAATTTTAAGAATCTATACTAATAGTTCTTGAAACTGTATTGCAGATCTGCATGCACCTTCAAGAACCTTCAATATTTAATACTCCTCTGGTCTTATTTATAGGGCAGAGAGAGAAAGTTTTTTTTGGGTCCTATTTATTGGTCACTTTATTAAATTTTCAGCATGAATATACTATTCTGTCCTTTATTTATTATAGTAAAAGTAGTTATCTCTTTTGAAAGATGTATATATTAAATATGGATAAAATTAAAAAAATTTATATTTTAATAGAGAATTAATACATTTTAAGATTTTTTTTGTTTGTATAAAATACACTAGAAGTGCCTTATAAATAGGACTAAAGGAGTATATACTTCCTCTCAATTTTCTCACCCATTTGTTGCTTATAGACAGCTACAACTTTATACATATATGCCTCAAAATGAGTTTAAAATAATAGAATTTGACGCTACTGCCCCTGACCCTAGCCCATTATAAATTGGTGGTTTCTATAGCTCCTCCTACAGCAAGAAAGCACATAATTGCCTTGGCTTCTCTCAGCCTCTCTACTTTAATGGCTTCCAAAACACAACCTCTGATCACCATCCTCCTCTTATCCCTGTTGCTACTCTCTCACCTGAGCTGCTCCCATGGCTGCCCAGTCGTCACATACTGGGGACAGAATAGGAATGAAGGAGAGTTGAACACGGCATGCGACACCAGAAATTACGAGATAATCAACATAGCATTCTTGAACAAATTCGGCAATGGACAACCTCCAAAGATAGACCTCTCAGGGCATTGTAATTGGAACACTCCATCCGGTGAACCTGATTGCACTGGATATGCCTCCCAAATAGCGTATTGCCAAAGCCTAGGCATCAAAATCTTCCTTTCTCTCGGAGGAGATTCTTCGCAATATACCTTGGCTTCAGCTGCTGAGGCCAAGGAACTTGCAGATCACCTCTGGACCTACTACCTCAGTGGCCAAACCTCAGGTCCCTTGGGACTGGTGGCCTTAGACGGCATTGATTTTGACATCGAAGCTGGTACAAACCTGTACTGGGATGTCCTTCTTAAAGATCTTTACGCATACACCCAGCAAAAGAAGTTTTACTTATCAGCAGCACCACAATGTCCAATCCCAGATTACTACTTAGACGCCGCCATTAGAACTGGCCTCTTTGACTACATCTGGATCCAGTTCTACAACAACCCTCCCTGCGAATACACAGATGATGGAGATACTCAGAAACTTATCAATTCATGGAACCAGTGGACCACCACATACACCGCCACCAAGTTCTATGTCGGCCTCCCTGCGTCTCCCGCTGCAAATGGTAGTGCCGGTGGTTATGTCCCGATCGATGTGCTCAACAATGAGATTCTTCCGCAGGTAGAAACCTCTCCCAAGTTTGGTGGGGTTATGTTATGGAGTAGGTACTACGATAGTCTATCGGGATACAGCGATCAGATCGTGTGTATTGCCACTGGAGCTTTTGAAGCTGTGCGTGCGCCATTGGTTGGCATGATGAAATCTGCCTCCGAGGTTCTATATCGCGTTTTATCTTAGTACTAGTGCGTGACTGCAGCCTCTCTAGCTACTATCGTGTATGGAATAAGTTGTGTGGAAGGCTAGTGCCTTCGATCCTTAAGTGACAACTTGATTCTACTCAATTTGTCATCTACAAATAAAAGTTTAATCGATCTTGTGGTTGGTATGATTTATTTTTTTTTGGCCCAAAATGTTGCTAAGATTTGACTTAAGTGCTTTATAACAAGGTATTGAAAAATAGGCCGGTCTCTGAATAGGTCGAGATAGTGGGTAAAGGTTAGTGTGTAAGCTAGAATTAAAACAAGGTTCGAAACAGTGATGAATAAAAAAAATTAAAAATTAATTTAAATTCTAATCATGCCACCAAAAAGACTAAATATTAATTTAATATCTTAAATCTCTAACAAAATAATCACATACTTACATTGTCTTTCCAGTTTTCCTATAATTCTCTTGATAAATTGACATCACAGTATCATATTATTAAAATCACTAAATATTCATTCGAAAAAAATATTAAGATAGATTTATGGCAACAAAATACTCATATCTACAATCCTTTAGTCATTAAATAATACTCCTCTGATCCTATTTATAGGACACAGAGAGAAGATTTTTTTATCCTATTTATAAGTCATTTTATTAAATTTTCAAGTAAATGTACTTTTTGTCCTTCATTTATTATGGTGTAAGTAGTTATTTTTTTTTGAAAAGTGTAATATTAAATATGAGTAAAATTAGAAAATTGTTATATATTAATGGGAGAGTTAATACATTTTAAAGTTTTTCTTAATCAGTATAAAATATGTTAAAAATGCGTTATAAATAAGACCAAAAGAGTAATATTTTTAGCATTAAAATAACTTTAAAAAACACAACACAAATGGGTTAACCCACCAAACCGGTCAGGTTAACTCGGTTTTTCCTGAGTTGCAACGGGGTCATATCGGTCGACCCACCAACAGTTTTTGTTACTGACTGGACCAGTCAGGTGACCGTGGGCCAATTTCCCGTCTAACCTGGCTTGTTTGGTCCGGAATAGCACCTCATCACATACTTTCACCATCATCTTCTTCAAACCCATGTTCTTTTTTTCTTTTCTCACACCCAAAGTATCTTGTATATGCTTGAATGCTTTTGGTTGTGAAGACCCATCTATTACAGTATTAAGTGGTTTTCCCCCTTTCAGCGTGACTGCCTGCAAACCGATGAATATTGTTGGAGGCTAGATGAAAGCCAAAAGTCTCAGGCCTGGCTTTATTGGTGGATTGAATAGAGAGGGATGGGGAGCAGGAAGGAGAGACAATAGATCCGAGGGGAAGATGAGCATGCTGAAATGTTGCGGATAATAAGAGAGAGAAAGAAAATGGGTAAAGAGATGCCTCAAAAAGAGAGTTGAAAAATTCAAAAAAAAAGGAGCTTTTTAAAAAGATTATATTATAAATCTGAAAATTCACACATAAGCTGCTACGGAGGTTTAAATTTGTCCAAATGGAATGTTTTTATCGGTTAGTGTACAGGTGAGGTACCCAGTACCTAAGAATTCCTCAATGTTTGAGTGGCCCAAAATCATGGTTTGGATGGGATATCACCCAAACAATATCTATTTTGGAGAAATAATTTAAAATCATGGTTTGCGCCAAAACCAGGGTTTTGGAGCCCAAAATCATGGTTTTATGAGAAGTGAATCTATTCTGCTTGTAGTTCAAATTGGAGAGTATGATTGTACATCTCAACAATAATATGACTTTGACATCCCTCAATTATTTTTTTTATAAACATATTTAATCTTATATCTTATAAAATATATACACACATATTAATTATTTATTAATTATATCATCTTATGTATTATTAATTATGTGGTAAAAAATATATTATTAACAATTTTATTCTTTCAAATTAAAATATATCATAAAATCTATCTTTTATATAATTATTATATTAATTTATGTTTTTTAGGAATTTGTATATATAAAAAGTACTTTTGATAATAACTATTCAAACACTCTTACTTTTTAAAATTACTTTTTCACAAAATCTATCCTTTCTAAAATTCCCTTCTCCAAAATCTATTTTTCAAGTTATGGTTTAGTTTTATCCAAATATTTTTTTTATTCGCGATATGCATTATCTATTTGCCACATACGCGCCCAGCAGGTGCAAAACTTGTGGCCCGGGGGAATTGATGAACGAAGCAATATCCAAAGGATATCACTTTCGTAAACCAGCTGGCAATAAGACAAGGGCAATTATTAGAAACTATCAAAATAGTACGTTCAGAGGTACATCCAATTGTCACGTTCTCATCGCTCTTTGTTGCTCTATGGCCCTAGAATAGTATCAACAAAAAAGTTTTTCCCTGCAGTCCTTCCCACCAACACACTATTTTCACTGTAGATCTAGATCGTTGGATTTCTAATAAATGGATGAGATTAATATATATTATTTCCTGTCCTCAGTGTAAGAGCTGATTGACTAATTTAAATATATTAAAGAGATTTGTTAAGTTAGTTATTTGTAATAAATACGTGTTGTTTTTTTCTAAAATATCCTTACTAATAAAGTGTATTAGTTTTAATATTGATAAAACTTTTAACATATGCAACTATTACAAGGATTATCTTAAAAAAATGAATAAATATGAGAGACAAACTAAAGTGGATTGGAATATTATATTTATGAGCAATGTAAATTGAAAATCAAACCAACTCTCATATTAAAGACCAAAGGGTGCAGAATAATATATGGAGGTCAGAAACGGTTAGACGTGTGTGGAATGATTTTGGGATCCTTTCTCTATCTCACAGCTTTTTCTGTACTCTCTCTCCCCCCCCTTCTCTCTGTCTAAGCTTCTGCATCATCTGAGATTATATTTCCGCATATGACATACCTTACGTTCTCCCATGCCTATGCTCTGTAATCTCATATGAATACTTGATAATACATTCAGAGCTGGAACTGATTATATTGAGTGTTGTTGAAGTACTAACGTTACAAAGACTCACCTATCAGCGGCACCACATTGTGACCACATTCTGAAATATTTATAGCTCTGAATAATTATGGGTGAGATTATAAGCACACTACTAATTAGCTAGGGGGCAATAAGTCGCTAGATTATAATTTAGAAGATTCCTTCAATAGTGCACATTATGATGCCTTTTCAAGCCTCATAAAACTACATCCACACAATTACCTCAGACATGCATGAGTTTTCTATTTGCCACATCAAATATTACGCACACAAGGTACAGGCATATGGAAACCATGCAATATCCGACCAATTAATTCTTCTTTGAAAAGCATTGCTACCTAAAAATGCAGCATAACAAGAAGCAATTATTATGGGGGGAAAAAAACCAATTCACACTAATGAGAGGAACCGAATTAAACATCGCAAGCATCCAGGCATGGTCCTCTAGCCTGTTGCTGTTATGTTCCCAGAGCCAATAATTAATGACTGCAAAAATTCAACTTTAACACGCGTCACATGTAAATCTTCTATCTCATGCGATACTCTCTTATGATATAGGGAATATGATCAATCTAGCAACCACGTATCCGAAGGTTCTTTTGTCACAGCTAAAACTGAAAATTAAAACATGGAAAAGAACTTATTTGATGTTAAATGACCCGAGCCCTAGCTCTTTATAAATAGGCTGTTTCTGTTGCTTGTTCTAAACCAAAAAAAAAAAAAAAAAAACATTATCTTTGCTCCAATCAGTCCGCCATGGTTTCCAATATACAAGGTTGCATCCTTCTCCTTCTGTCCTTGCTGCTGTCTCACTTCAGCTCTGCCAAGGAACTAGGAATGGTCACGTACTGGGGCCAGAATGTGCATGAAGGAGAGTTGGATGAAGCATGTGCCACCGGGAATTACGAGATAGTAGACATAGCATTCCTCAGCATCTTTGGCAATGGACAAACTCCAGACATATACCTGTCTGGACATTGTTCTGAATCCTGAGGTGTCCCTTGCGCTAAATATGCCTCCCAAATAGCTAACGGCCAAAGCAAAGGCGTCAAAATCCTCCTCTCTCTCGGAGGAGACTCTCGGATATATTCACTTTCTTCAGCTCAAGACGCCAAACGAGTTGCTGCCTCTGGACCAACTTTCTCTATGGCCATCAGAATAATTCAGAAGGCCTGCTAGGAAACGCGATTTTACATGACATCGCCTTTGGCATCAAACAAGGTGGAACCTGTTATTATGATGATCTTGCCAAGGAGATTGACTCCTACAGAATGGTAAAAGATTTTCACCTATCAGCCGTACCACAATGTGCAATCCCTGATCCATACTTGGACTCAGCCATACAAACTGCACTCTTCGACCATGTTTGAGTTCAGTTCTACAATAACCCTTCGTGCCAATATTCTCCTTGGAATACTCAGGACCTTATGCACTCGTGGAACCAGTGGACTGACTTCCCCATCTCCAAGTTATATCTTGGCCTGCCGGCGTCTCCGGCGCCAACTGGCAGGGCTGGTGGCTATATCCCAGTAGACGGACTAAACCATGAGATTCTTCCACGTATAAAAAGCTCTCCCAATTACGGGGGTGTATGCTATGGAGCAGGTACTATGATATAGATTCTGGGCATAGCGGTAAGATCAAATCTGGTACTACTCTTGGAGAGTTCAATAATGTTGCCAAGATCTAATCAGCCTCAAGAGTGCTGTGTCGCCTTTTATCGCTGTACTATAGCTAGTGTGACTGCAACTTGCCTAGCAACTATCATGTATGGAATAAGCTGTAGAAGGCAAAGTGCCTTCGGTCCTTAAGTGACGACTTGATTATGCTCAAGGTTTTATTTAATTTTTTTTTGGTTTCTCTTTCATTAAACTTAGATGTCAAAACTGAAAATAAAGGGAAAAATTTTAAAAAGGTGACAATTATTTAGTATTCACATGTATCCATACATTGATTAATACAGAAAGATGAAGCCAAAAGAAGGAAGGAAAAAAAGTTCCATATGCATACTCACATCACCTGTAAATTGAAGGATTAATTAATTTGCAAGTTTTTATAGTTTCAACCAATTTTGAATCAGGTTCCTATAGTTTTTTAACTTTTTATCAGGTCCTTATACTTTCATCTGTTTTTAATTAGGTCTTTGCATTTATTCTTCTTTTTATCAAATCCCCGTAATTTTGCTAAATTTT